ACTTGTGCTCTAGGCCCTTCACCAGCTTCATTGCCCTCCTCTGGACACGCTCCAGCACCTCGATGTCCTTCTTGTAGTGAGGGGCCCAAAACTGAACACAGTACTCGAGGTGCGGCCTCACCAGTGCTGAGTACAGGGGCACTATCACCTCCCTGGTCCTGCTGGCCACACTATTCCTGATAGAAGCCAGGAAGCCATTGGCCCTCTTGGCCACCTGAGCACACTGCTGGCTCATGTTCAGCCATATGTATATACGTACAATCACTTGACTAGCTTTTCCATACTTCAAAACAATGCTGTTGCTCTTCTGTAGTTCTGGACATATTTTTAGGCAAAAGGAAACAAATCTCGGCCACACCTTCTAATACCATCAGCGAGGGCACATTTGCATCTGCAAGCCCACAGGTGTGCGGGGCCTATGTTTGAGCAGAGACTCAGGCTGTTGTGCAGAAGAAAGGGGTGCTTGTCCCTACTGTGTAGGGAAGAAATGCCGTAGATAACTGCATGGATGGGAATGCATGCCTGTCTCAAAATTGGCTTCCTTACGCAGTGATGCCATGCATCCTAAACTAATTGCCACTATGGCACCGCAGGACAAGGCTTTGATCAAAACAGCATGGGAAATAGGCTGTCTTAATAAAGTAGTTTACTTTTTTCCTTAGAAGAGGACATGATTATATTTAATGAGAGCTTTCTATTTTCCAAGTCTTTTTTTTTTTTTCCCCTTCAGATTCTGTTAGCGTGAGCCTAACAGCACACACAATGTTTCTGTTTTGTTTCAGGGATGAAGACAAATATCACAGCCATAAAAGAAGAAAGTAGAAACCAGACCCTGATTATTTTGTTTGTCAGCTGTTCAAAAAATTACTTGCACAGGAACTATTGTTACTGCTGTTGTGCCAGGGACAGTAATGCTGTGTACATAATGTTGGTGCCGCATCACAGCTGTGCGTGGAGACAAAAATGAAACAGTGTTAAGGTTTGTCAGGATGGAGCCAGTATATATCAGAAAATGTTTACGTGTGTGATGCTAATGCATCTATTAATAAATGCTATTGATCTCTCCCATCTATTTGAGTTTAGTCTGACGAGGCTGTACTAATTTGCCTTCCTGGCCCATAGCTGGTGGATATAGAACAGAGCTAATCCCTGGAGTCTAGGATCAATTACAAGTGAAAAGGCACGAAGAGAGCTCCCCTCCCACCTGACACTGTCACCTCTGGGAGCTGTGTTCCAGAAAGACAGGACTGACTTACTGCCTAGTTACAGCACGTACCCCAGAGGTGAGAGGGCAGGCTTCAGAGTTCTCCAACAGGCTAAAATATCTTCAACTGCAGCTAGTGGTAAAAGGACAATAACAGGAAAGTTACTGTTCCCAAGCTCATGCTGAAAGAAACTTAGGATCAATGTCATCTGGCAAAGATGATGAGAATATAGCTCTCCACAGAAACTAGTGGGGAGGTACCAAGGACACTTGTAGTATTACTGATTGCCATTTTCAAACACCGGGTGCGTACCCATTTCCTTCCAGAAGTAACCAGGAGGAGTTCCCCATCCTGTAGAGTAATATACAAGTATTAGTGATAGAGGTTGATAAAGCAGTAAGGCTTAAGACCTGCAGGTACGTAGTAAGGATGTGCAGGAGGATTCCACTAAACTTCAGTGGTATCTTTATTATATCAATTTCCAGTCCTGTTAATTCCTCACACAGTCTGCTACAGCACAGTCATCATCAGCCAACCTTGTTACTTCAACCAAGTAAGCAACTGTAAAAGAAGAAGGATGCAGATCCCTCTTTCCTACAATACTTTCCTCTGTTTGATCGAGTTCCCAGGAGAGGGCACTCCATAGGCTCCTGGTTTTGGCCGCCTCTGGTACTAGAATCTCTCCAGTTTTACTGTAGCCACTAGTATCCTGACTCTTGTCTCAATCGTTTCTGCAATTAAGTATGACTATCTGTCACTAAATACTTAGTCTAGTTCTGATTGATTTAGGCTTCTGTACCTACTACAGCTGTTCAACGTAAAACCAAACTGAACTGTGTGTCAGGCGTTTCCTCACCTACGTGACGCATGCAGTAGCTTTTCCTGTCGGAACACAAGATGTATTTTAAAATAGATCCTTAATTAGAAAACTCCACCTAAGAATGGAAAAGGCTATCTAAGTTCTGAAAGGGTCCTAATTAGAGGGAAAACAATACGGGAACATTGCCGTCCTTCCTCAAGTCGATGTTTCTTCCAGCAGCTCAGCCACAGGGCTTAATTCATGTTGAATAAGGCTTGGTAAAACTACTTGTTTAACAGAGCTTGTTTATTCAGACAAGGTAGTCAAAAGACAAGCTCCATTTGTGTAAGAGTCAAAAAAAGCGTGCTATCCAGAAGTGTCATGAGAAACAGCACCAATTGTAGCTGTCCAGTCTTCTCTGAATTGAATTTTGTGTTTTACTTCTTTGCTTACCATCACTTAGGAAGTAGAGGTAGGAAGATCCATAACAAAATACATTTTATTCAATATAAAGAGGGGAGTGAAGGTATCGGTCCCTAGGTGTGAGCATCGGTATTTGAGAGGCAGGAGAACAGCATAACCGTGTATGCAATTAGCATCCTCTCCAGCGCCACTTCAAGAGTGGGGTAAAGAAAAGGAAGTGCCAGAGAAGAGGATCATCTTCTATTGTAACGTGCAAATAATGGCCCTTGGAACAAAAATTATTTTCTTCCACATATTTATTCCTTCCTTTTTTTTTTTCCTCTCACCTGGTGCTGAAGAGTAGGCTTGATCAAAATGGTGTTGAGGGTTGGGTCAGGAAGTTTCTGAGCAGCACCATGCCAGTTTGTTGGTCACTGGAAAGGAATAAACCAAACATTTCAGAACACCACTTTAACATGGCAAATCCCAGTGTGTTGGAAAAGATACAGTTGAGGGTTGTATTAATTGCAAGCAAGAGCGGTGTGATTAAAAAGTGGTTCTTCCTAAAAATTGTCAATCTGGTAACTGTAATGACAAAACAAACCAGTGCATTTGTGCGCTCGTGTGTTTTTGAGCTCCCATGTACATGGAGCTGGTAGCAATCTAAGGGAGAAAGACCAATTCCAGGTAGATGGTAGGGAGAGTCAGTACCTGTCTGCAAACGTGCCACGTAGGCAGCACTTGGAGGACAAGCCCGTTACGGATCTTTTAAATGTGGTTAAAAATAAAGCGCATTTTGTGTGACCTGTGTGCGACTACGGAAAAAATGAGTGGGAGTTTATCACTGCGAGCTGGATTGAAGACACTGTCAGTTTCATACATTCCTAATGCTAATTCCACGCTAATTCTAGCAGGAATATACACAGTATCTTGATGGATCTTCTCTTCCCTCTGCTAAAAAGTTACGAGGTTTTGACACTGAATTCTGTGAGCACAAGACTTCACATGACCAATCCAAGTCTATTAGGGATGAGATTTTCACCTGTAGGAGCTGGCATAAGTTAGGCCTAGTTAGCAGAGCTGTTGGCACAAGCCTGTGAATTTTACGTTCTTGCTGTTGTAGAAGCTGACAAAAATAGGATCAACCATCTGTCTAAAGCAACAGGACAGTGTTGGTGTGCTCAAGGAAAAAGGTAGCCCAACTACGTGAATACCCTGTTGATCATCGTGAAGTGCAGGTGTCCAGAAGCATTCAGAACAAACAAGCTGTGAGCACCAACGACGGTGACAGCATGTCAGAAAATGGCAGCGCACTTGGAACGGGCCCATCATCAACAGGATGGTTCTGTACCCAACCCTGTAAGGACACCTAATAATACTGGGGGGAGCCATCGCTTGCTAAGAAGCTACCCTAACCTTCAACGTACGCATCTCCTGCTGTGAAGAACCGCGTCAGCTCATGGCTCACTGACAAGACCGACACACTGACCGACCAACCCCAGAGCAAGCAGAAACACAACAGACTGGAAATGTACCCAACCGCCCCAGCTTGGTACACACAGCACAACAGGATGAACTATTCGGGTGGGACTATGTCCTGCCTTTGTCCTTTGTGTCCACTGAAGGCAACAAACACCAAGACCATTCCAGGAAGGACAATTTACCGTAGCTAATACTACAAAAATTGAAAAGCCAAACCATTTAAAACCAAGCACACGCTAAATATTTCCCCAACAAAATTTCTAGGGAGAAGTAATTCAGGAGAAACATGACAGAAACTTCAGACTTCAAGTGGGGACTCCCAGTTCCTCTCTCTCTGATTTACAGTCTATGTTAAATCAGAAGAGCAGCCCGTAAGATGCTGCTGGTTCCAGTACCAGTAATATGCAGATGGTACAAACCTGTATATAATTGCGTCCTACAGGGAAAATTATACCACCAGGTAGTGACTTCAATATTTCAAAGAAAGGTGGATAAATAATAATTTATCATTTAACAGTTCAAACCCCGATGTTGATCACTTAACAGAAAATAACTATGTACACTTTCAACATATCCTTAGTCAACCTCTACTCCCGTCATTGTGGCTATGCCCAAACTGAAGAGAGACTATTCACCTGAAATTAGAAGTTTATGGAGAACCCAGAGGTCATCCATACATTCAAATTCCATGCACGGATTTTTACTTACGCTTGTTCTTTAATTCTGTGGAGGAATGCTTCAGTTTTCTCCTCTGGTATCTCTCCATCAATACCTGCCAAATACGAGTAGAGGAAGGAGAATGTTTCGAAGGGAACGCGAGCTGCTCCACCTTCTGGGTCCCTTGTTAAGATTTCGCAGGCGTGTTTCATTGAACTCAGCAAGGACTGCAGGGGGTTCAGTCAAGAAATGAGAGCAACAGTATCAGAGCCGTGAACGTCCTTTCCATACCATGACAAAATCCACACTGTAAGCGAGCGTAAATGAGATGAAGGCTTTATCATCATTACCCAACATTCAACCCCAAATTTACCCGCCAGTGCAGGTCCAGGGATGGAAACAATAATGAAGTTCTAGTAGAAACAAGAGTAAAAAATACCAGAATCCTATGATGTTTTAAGATTGCACGGGGCAGTCTGAGCCTTATCTCCAATATGGCCAAATTGCTCTATTCTGCTACCGTAAAAGCTCAAACATCACTATACCTGGGTGGGGGGGTGGTGGTGGGGGGTGTGTGGGTGTGTGTGTGTGTGTGGTGTAGATGTATATATACATATGTATGTATATGTATTTCTTATCTCAATGGATCTAAAGGAATTCTCAGCAGCAGTTAAGACAGACAAATCTACAAAACCCAGAAAACTCATATGGTTGATGACTTTTTTATTATGACATAATATTAGCATGTTATTCATTTTTAGGAATAGAAAAACCACTGGGGCAAAAAGCATTTCAGGAATGTTTCAGTTTTAGTCAAAGCCAAATAACGTCTGAGTTCCCTTTAGAACAAACATGCCTCAAAGTATTAATTCCAAATATACTTTAAGAAATCCTTTATTCAATACAGTGTCTTTAATCCAGTGCCCTATGCATGCTGAGCTATATGGGGAAACGTGGAAAAATTCAACATTGAGCTGCATTGAGTCAAAGACTGGTTGGATGCCATTAAAACAAAGAAACAAACAACAACAACAAAACCCCACAGGGCCCTTTTTAACCCAAGTAGTAATATTTTTGCCATAACTTTTTCAAAAGTTGTCCTTACCTCTTCATTAAAAAAAAAGCAATGACTGTAAAAAATAAGTATTTCCTAACAGTAGAACAGAAATATTTAAAATAAATGCAGTATCTGTTCAAGATCTACAACACAGGCCAGAGAAGTGTCACTTTATAATCCCTTAAAAGTTTTATTTAACATAGTTCCTCCCCTGGGAGGCCTCTGTGGGGAAGGAGAGGCCG